GGAAGGCCGCCGGGGGGGGTCCGGGCGTCGCGCTTGTGATGGGGTCTTTGAGAAAAGTCGAAGGGCCCGAGCAAAAAGGGAGAGTGAGCTTAATGGGGGGGCAGGGGTCCGTCGCAAAACGACGGCTCCTAACGATCGGGATGGAAGCCAAGTATTTGCAGACGTGTCCTGGGTTGATCTTGCTGTTATGTGGTTGGTTTGATGAACTGCAGGTCTCCCTGACTTAGTCCCGGATCCCTATTACATCCAGGCGTCCACATATGTCCAGAGGATGTCCATGTATAACTTGAGATGTGCTGCCGAGGAGAACTGCCTGGCAAGGTAGGCATCACCCCGGCCTTTGCCTCTTTGCTGTGGCTTCTTGTGCTCCTGCACCCACTGCAGAGTACCTGAGGACACAGTGAAGAAAAATGAAGAAAAATGAGGCTGGAGGGCCTGAGGAAACATAGCCCAGTCTGTAACCTTCTTCTAAGCCTGTGGCAGATGGTAGGGTGTGCATATAAGAAAACCATACTGCCATATTAGAGACAAACTACAGACGCTTTGAAGAACCTACATTTTGTGTAAAGTTATATTGCACATTTCTATTTTCAGGCTCATTTGAACATATCTGAGTTTTGCAAAATAGAGGCACCTAAAAAGACAACTTGAATCTGGTGATTTTCATCTCCCTCGTCTAATCCAACCGGATCATATTCTACTTCATGAAAAAAACCCAAACCAACCCTATTCATAACCAGCACAAGTTACTACTAAAATTGTAACACACTAATTGTTTCTGGGCCTATGTGTTATAATGTCTCTTAAGACTGAAATCTCCCTGAAGAGTTTTTCAAAGTCTTTTAACGGGTTGAAATAACAGCTTTGCTATGAAGTTAGGTCCTGTCCAGTTGGCAAAGGGGGATTTTTCCTGTTTTGTTTGGAAAGAAATGAACATGGCCGTTTTTAACCATTTTAACTTGTTTGATATCTTATCATGCAAAACAGATTTATTTATTTACCAACATCATTAATTGATGTCAGACTGTTTTCAGGGTCATGCTCTTTCTTCACTTGCTGGAAAAAGAAAACATGGCATAAGAAGCAGTATTTTTTATGCTAACTTTACAGTGAAGACTAATTGAAATGCTCTTGCTGGCTATTGGTTGATTAAAATAGTCCAGTACTTAAAAGACTGTAGATAATAGCTATGGGAAATATGAAAATATAGCCTGAGGCATATATTTATTCGTTTTTTTTACAACAGAAACAAACATCTGTTGTGTGATCTTGCACATGCAGTGAGTTATTTTGGTTAACAGCAACTAATGAAATTGTATTTTTGGTACCAGAGTGATTTTACAGTGAAGTGGTGATCTGCTTCAGAGATGGAGGCAGACAGTCAGTGGTCAGACTCCTGTTTATATTACTAGAAGCAGATCTGAATCTTACTCAGGTCTTGGTCTGACACCAGGCACTTCTGAGTACACCATGTGGAATTCTTATGTGTCTCCAATGCATGAGCTTTAAGGGGGCTGAAAAGATCTGTGCTCAGTTACTTCTGAGTCAGTATGTGTTTTTTTGAAGTGTTTCTTGCATATACTTACATCTCTTTTTTGCATTATTACAGTTCAGCTTATCGAGCAGATGTTAGAGACTATGACAATCGGGTGCTCCTGAGATTCCCCCAAAGAGTGAAAAACCAAGGCACATCAGATTTTCTGCCCAGCAGACCCCGTTATTCGTGGGAGTGGCACAGCTGTCACCAGTGAGTGAAGTGCTCAGTATGGTACCTTCTAGTTAGCTTTTTCACTAACAAATTGTCACTTACAAGGTGACGTTTTCTAAAACTGCAGTGAAGCAGGACGAAGTAACGGGGAAACTTTAGCCTTTTTGTGTCTGATTGATTTCATGGTAGTGATAATTACTCTTTATATAGCTACATGAAACCAAAATGGATATGAAACTTATCGAAAGTATAAAACTCTTACAACTATAAATTCATTACAAATCCAAGTGTCAAATCAGTTTTGAGAGTGGCACCCTCTCCCTTTATATTTTACATAGGCTATAGTCCAGTTACATTTAAGTGGAACCACTAAATAAAAGTGCTGATCATGTTATAATAACTGGGGAAACCCTAAAATGTACATGTTCCCTATAATATATCATTGTAAACATTGGACCGTACTTCTTGACCTGAATTTCATGGGTTAGTTCTTGGCAAGGGATGGTCAGGTCAATATGGAAACAAGAAGATACTGAGTTGACCGATCCCATTATCAGTATCTTTATCCTATCGTGAAACTTACACATAGCAGTATTGTTCTAGGAACAGCAGAATTGCTGGAAACATGGCAATGCAAATGTAGAACATTTTCAACAGTTTCGGAGCAGGTAACACTGCAAACTTCTACCTTTTCAGAAAATTCACATGCAACAGTTTGCAGGTTTGTTCCAATTTTCGCTATTTCATAGCAGGACCAATTGTAAAATACTAGAAATCTTACTTCCACCTTCCTTAAAATACAATTCTGCTGTGACTGGTACATAAGTAATAACTTAGTATTATGCTATTAAAAAAATATGTAATGTGGGCTGGAGTCAATAGAATATTTTTCTCTAGCTTCAGAAGCTGTACGCTTTGAATGAGAGGTCAGTCTCATTAGAACAAATTCTTTCAAAAAAGACTGATATTACTAGTTTCTAAAACTTGTAAGGATCAAAAAGCTAAAACTAAATCAAACCAAACAAAAAAATCCTCCATAAACGATTTAGCTAGCTTCCAAACCACCACCCAAAACCCCCCAACCCTGGTGGTTGCAAAGTCGATAAATGGATGAGATGGATAGAGAGCACTGAAATCTTCCATTTGTAGAAAAGCAGTTTCTTACTCTGCCACGATAGCCCAGCTATCACTATCCAGATGCAAAGTGTCTCTGATGTTGATTCAGTTCTTGGACAGATGATACACTGCCTACAAAAAAAAAATGCGTTTCTTGTGATCATTTCCGTGACAGTGAAACAAGCTCATTTGGAAATGAACTATAACTGCCAATTAGTTTGGCTAGTCATCAGACTTCAGTGTTAGTCATCATCATCTGGTTTTAGTGTTCTTGACATGCATGCTTGTGAGACTTGTGCGCTCCTTTTCGTGCTCACAATACATTTGAATTCTATTTAATTACATCTTTTTCATATACCTCTTGAGCTGTAAGCATTCATAAGTAACAGCAGCCAAATGCTGCACAGACGAAGTGCAGGTAGATAGTACAAGTTCAGTTTTCCATGTGTTTGGAAAAAGTGAAATTACAAGAATAATAAGTGTTCAAGTCGACACTAAGAGCTAGAACTCACTTGGTGTAAGAGCAAGAAAAATGCATCACTGTGCACAGAGCAAAAGCATGCACAGTTTTGAAATGGAGACTACATTAAGTATAGACTACAAAAATTGTTGGCAGTGGACAAGATCTGCATTGCCAGTACACAGAAGCTGATTTCTTTGTGCAGATTTTGTTTTCTCTAATGTTATGAATGTGTTACACGGATTGAGGGCCATGGAAATGTGAAAGTAAATTGTTGGGTTTTTGCTAACAAGTAGCAAACTTCCCTGGAATTTATAGTATGTAAGGTAAGCATTCCTAGTGAAACTCTGGCTAAAGGCAGTTGTAAGATGTACAATTCAAATATGAACTACTTAATACTTGCTATTGTTATTGGAAAAGATCTGAAACAGGAAATTTTGGAAAACAGTGCTGCTATGGAATCTTTCCCTTTACAAGTTAAAATCTATTATTTATTTATAGAAGATGGCATTTTTATAGTCATTGAAAATTAGAATAACAAAAATAAAACTTAATTGAATGGCCAGTATAGGAAAGTCTACTAACGCACAAGTTCTATGTAATAAAAAAAAAATTTGGCCAGATCTAACAGAAGGTAGATCAAATAGGAATATGTTAAGATGTTAATGACAAGATCTGATCAATCTGTCTATGGTTTGACAGACATTATCACAGCATGGATGAATTCAGCCACTATGACTTGTTGGATGCAAACTCACACAGAAAAGTCGCTGAAGGACACAAAGCAAGTTTCTGTCTTGAAGATACCTCCTGTGATTATGGATATTATAGACGGTATGCATGTACAGCGCATACACAGGTAAGAGTTGGTTCAGAGACAACCAAGTTTGTTTTCCTCCTCTAATTTACCTGTGGATATTTTTGCTACCAATTGTCTGATGCCCTAAATTATCTGATGCCCTAACTAGCTCTGAAATTCTCCATCGAAGAGGTCGGAGTAGCAACTTGGAGACTTATACAGGTGCTGCTAAATGTGGGCATCTCATTAAAATGCAAGGACACTCATTAGCCTGGCATCACTGGTAACTGAACTGTATTAAAACGCACCACAAGTCCTTGTGGTTGCAGGACTGGTCAAGCGAGCTAAAGAGAACTCAAGACAGAGTAAGTAAAGAAGCCGTTTCCAGCATTCATCCCCCCCAAACTGCTCAGTGATGTCCTCGGCTGGTCCCAGTGTTCACAGCTAGTATTTTCTCCCTTGCAGAGCATGAGCCTGCAAGATGCTGAATTTCCATAATACCTATAACTATCAGCTGGCAGTCCAACACAGAGAACTTACAGCATAGTTTTATGCATATATAGAAGGCTGTTAGAGAGAATGGCAGCCATGTGAGCATTATGATGGGTCATATACAAATGTAAAGCAAGGTTATTAAGGGAATAGATAAAAATGGACTGTACCATTATGATATTATGCAAATCCACAATAGACTCCTACTTTGAATATTGCATGGACTTCTGGTCACCACCTCTCAAAATTCCTACAGAAAAGCCTAAAAAACCACACCAACCAACCCCAGGAGAACAAGGATGATCAGCAGTGTAGTATGGCTACCACGCTAAGAGATTTCATAGACTATTCCATTTGGAAAACCAGAAACAATACCAAATCTTGAGTGGTCCTGGATGGAAAGAGGAAATTGTTGATATTCACTGTTTCTCACAGTACAAGAATTTAAGGATATCCAAAAGAACTGCCAGACAAAAGCTTTAAATTGCAGAGGAGTGCTATTTTGATACATGAATAAAGTATTAAATTCCTTGCCATAGGATGTTGCAGAGATCAAAAATATCTACATGGGTTTAAAAAAAATTTGGACGAAGTAATGGAGGCTATTAAGCACAAAAATCTGGTGCTACCCCATGTCTTAAATACAGTTAAATGCCTGGTGGAAGGAATTTGCCTGGGTAAAGGATATTACACATCTCATTTCATATGTTCTTTTCTCCTCAAGCATCTGCTGCTGACCACTGCCAGAGACATGACATTGACTTGATGGATCTGTGGTTTAACTCAATGTGGCCATACTTATACATAAACTTGCATCCCTTATTCTGTAGTTTTTAATCTAGGAGGTAGTTATTTTATCACAGAGAAATGACAGTATGCTTCACTGGCTGACGTGTCCACATCTGAATTTTAAATATAATGAATGATCTGCAATACATAAAGGCTTTGAAGAGGTTTTATAAGTACCTTTTCTCCTTCTGTAGACTATGACATCTAACTAAGCAATGTACATATTTTACAGCTGGAGTATTTGTGTCACTAGAATCATGGCTGTGTCAGCATTTCCACTGGAAGCCCATATTTCAGGGGTTTGTAATTGGACTGTAAAACTTTCCTCCAGCCTCAGACTTGGCACGTATGTGCGAGAGTCTGAGCTGATCACCAGCTAGGTCAAGAGGGAATTCCTGCAGGACTCGGGTTTTGTGTGCGCACTCTGTGTGTCGCCAGAACAGATCATCTTTGCCTAGAGCAATCTGTATCGGTCACGGTTACAGACACCAGATTTGAACCACCGATACATTCATATATGAAGATTCTTACCGGTGTTCCTAACAGCAAAGAAGTTTTCAGAAACAATTAACCTGGAAAAAAGGTGATGTTTTTGATTCTTTCAGATTCCTGTGTCACTATTTGCCTGAAAAGATGCCATTTCCATGCAAAACTCAATGTGAAAATGGCCCTGGGCTCTGCTATTCAAAGATGGCACTGTGGCAGAGTGCATCTGTAGCAAAAAGTTGCATCATTCCAGATAGTAGAGACAGGTTCCAACATGGTCAGCAAGTTTGTACTTGGACCTCAGAAGCTGTTTTCTTGAGATTTACAGATATTTAGGTCCAGGCTTTGGTCAGTTTTGACTTTTTTCTCACCTTTTGTAAAGAACAGTAAGTAACAGCATCAACAATATTTACATAAAAGGAGTACTGTAACAAGAGATAATGAAATACAGATAAAATACAGGTATCTCACAGATGAACATTTATCAATAACATCGGTGTTTCTTATGCAGTAGTAGTACAGTGCTGACTATATAAGTGATATGTTAAGACTTACATGTTCTGGTTTAGATATTAATATAAGACGACAGGAAAAAATAAACCTAATTTCCTAAGGTAATTTTCTTAGTGAAATGTGGAGGTAAGTGAACTTCGGTCTGAGTGTCCCTAATGTGCAGAATGTTACTATTCCTAATGATTTTTTGACATCCATCTTAACTTCATTTTTAAGGGACTGAGCCCTGGCTGCTACGACACTTACAATGCTGACATAGATTGCCAGTGGATTGATATTACAGATGTAAAACCTGGAAATTACATTCTGAAGGTAAGGATATTGGGAGTGGGGAGGTTTGTGTTTTCTTTTGTTGTTTTTTAAAGAAGCAAATCATATGCATACATGCTTTTGAATGTAAGTCATCAACTCAAACCTGGAGGTAGATAACACTGTGCTTTCTCCCCTTAAGGTGAGTGTAAACCCCAGCTATTTGGTGCCTGAATCAGATTACTCCAACAATATAGTACGCTGTGATATACGCTATACAGGCCACCATGCGTATGCCTCTGGCTGTACAATTTCGCCGTAAGTATACATTCCTTTGTCTTTGCAGGTGTTTTATATTCATAGTACTAATGTTGACAAACAGATTTATAAAGCTTAGAGATTGACTTAATATTGCAAAATTAACTCCCACCATTAATTCTAGTGATAGCAATTTCTTCAGTACGTTGTTTCTTGGGTTTCAGGATCTAGTGTGCCAATTCAAAATTCAGATTGTACTTTGCAAAGGTCTTTTTTGGCAGGAATGATGGGAACAGTTGCTTTGCTGTTGATAACTGCATAGCGTTCAAATCCTGACCTCCCATAATTAAACTATTTCCGTAAGCATAGCACTGATTTTTAAAAACTATTTAGTCTTGGCAATCATAAGTGAGAATTTTGCTCTTGCAATTGTGCCATCAGGATATATTGCACTTTTAAAATTGCTGCTACTGTCTGGGCTGCTAGATAACTAGCTCTGGCTTGCACCTTCTTTGTATTTGCACTAAAACCTTTCTGTGCACATTCAATACCCATTTATAGCATCCACACAAAACTGTTGAGCAGTTACAGAGCTCTTAAAACATTCTGCAAAATCCCACACATGTATGTTACTTTGCTGCCGCTGCTGATGCAGCACCCATCCTCTCTGAAATAGTTCTTCCAGACACACTCCATTGACAGTTTGGTTCTTTAAAAGTTTATATAATGCCACAATCATGCCTTTTTTTTTTTTTCCTCCCAAAAGGTAAATTCATTTAATTAATTCATTCTCACGGTAGTTCTACTGTAGCTTAGTATCTGTGAAACACACACAAAAAACAATCAGTCTTCAGTAACACAGAGGTAAGCAGTTCTCAGGATAATATATTAGTGGCTTACACAAAATATTTATAAAGTCGTTTCATTTGGACTGCATATGGAGCGAGTATTAACACTAGATAGAGGTTCATGTGAGATAAATTCCAGAGCAGTAAATGAAAAGTAAAATAAATGACCAGTATAGTCTGCTATAACAGCATCGGTGAAAAAAAAGTACTGAATTAATGTGACTATTGCTTAATTAGCCTTTCAAATATACATTACTTAATTTGTATTAGGAAACCAGTAGTTAAGTGAGGCTAAAATGAGAAAGCTTTTTTCACGCCAGTGTGGAGTTCCGTATTTATAATCACACTTTGGTCATAAACACAACAAGTTAAATGGCTTCAGCAGAATCCTCCATTTGTTCTCGCCATGTGGTGGTCAGACTTGCAGGAAACAGAGGAAAAAGAGCAGGCGTCCTGCAGGTCACGAGCAATTATTTTTGGCGGACCTGTGCCAGTAGCTTTTAAAGCATTTCTCTGTAACAGGACTGACTCATCAGTCCTTCTAGGAACACTGTTTTTGCTCACATTCACGTGGACAGGAAATTTATGCTTCACACCTTTAACTTTCAGCCTCCCCATCTTAACCTTTTTAAATGTTATCAAGCAAATATATTCATGCCGGGTGAAGAAACAAAATTTCTGTTACTGTTTGTTGACTTGCGCCTTCAAGCTGACAAAAGGGTACTTTAGCAGATACGCTTTTTGTGTCTGCTTGATCATCTGCATAATGTTGTTTCTTTTCTTTCCACAGATACTGAGAAAGATGCCAGAAAATGGATAAGACGGTGCCAAATGTTTTGAACTGAAGTACCATTATATAAACTTCAATAGGATGTAAACACTATAGAAACAAAACTACAGAACATACACACATACACCCACACACCTTATGTGATTTTGAAGCACTTTGGCTGCTTCTCAGCCAAATCGTAACTGGATTTTAAGCATTTAAATTGGCATTACTTTTTTTTAGTATTGAAATGTGTGGAACTGGTGATTCATGCACAGATACTTTAAATTTTGAAAATCTAACTCATTCATAAAAAAATGAGCATTTCTTAACTGCTGAAAATTTGGAGTGTAGTTGATAATAGCCTTCAGTGGAAATATTACTGGTGAATGAGTTGAACATATTTTAAAAAGTAGAAAAAAATGATGTAAAATGAATTAAATAAAATGCAATAGAAAGTACTAATGTCAGCTATCTCAGAAAATACCAGAATGGAAAACAGCTTAAGAATAGTGCTACAGTACCATTAAAGTAAAACTTGCTAGGACACGTTGATATGAATGAGAAAAGTATGTTCAGTTTTCAAGGAATAATAACATATAGCAGAGAAATACACACATATATATATATATCAGTTATACCCCTGCAAGAAAAGTTATGTTTACATTTTTAATACATTAGAAATTTTTCCATTTTCTTAAGTAAAAAACAGATGGGGTTTTGAAAGAAACCTTTCATCTGTGGCAATGAATTAAAGACCTTATCCACCTTTCTATGTTCAAGAGATTTTTCAAGGTGGGGCTTTTAAAAGACTTCTGCAAACTTAATGTGGATAAAATTAAATACCTGTCAAGAAAAGGGCTCTTGGAGATGATGAAGAGTCCCTGATGTAGTCATCTGTGAAAAACATCCAACTTTAACAGGTTAACCATCAAAATAATACAGGCAAATTAACTCAGGTGGCTCCACAAACAGAAGTAGGTCAGAATCTCTAACAAAGTATCTTTATCGTGAAAAAGCCTACTACCTGCTTCCCCCTTAAGTACTGTATTTGACTTTAAAAATGTATATCTCAGTATTAAACAATGAAGTTGAAAATATACTATATATAGAGGGAGAACAAAAGTCAATGTATTTAACATCCTACTTTAGGCTGTTCAGGAACCAAATACAACATTGTTAAGGGGAAAAACTTCCAGCCCAAATTAAAGTTTTTGCTGAACTGCTTAACTGGTGCTGGGTACACTCCTCCTCCTCCCATCCCCAAATTATTTTGCTTTTGCGGTGCACCCTGCTGTAAGCTACAGTAGCTGTGATTTTGTTTTTAAACTGTGAAATAACATATCACAAGGGGATCTGGTGTTTTTTTTCAGAAGATTTCTGATCACATAAAACGAAGGATCTACTTTTGAAACAAAGGGACCTAGAAATATTGATTGGTATTGGTTAAGTTTAATCAGCAGTTCAAAACACCTAATGGAATATGGAAAGCTCAATATCTTAAACAAAATTGAAAAATGCATGTGCTATTCAGTATAGTTAAAAATTGAAAAATCTGAGGAGCATGGAGAGGTTTTTTTATCGCTATTGAGAATACTTCAGGCAGTATTCGAAGTGTATTACGCAGTAGAACCTTATAGATTTAATTTGGAAGTTTTACGAATTATTGTAATATCCTTTAAGGATCAACTTGTTCTTTACTACTACTACATATATTTAAGCTTATTTCACGATTATAAAGTATTTCCACCTTAATCATAACTTGGTTACAATTTTGCACAACTAGTGTGTATACTTAAAGAGAATCTAAGAACCAGCAACCCAGTGATTACTACCCAACATTGGGAGTGGGTGCAGAATGAATACCATTTGTATCTGCAGGTCCCTTTTTGTTTGCTGACAGATCTACTTTAGCAATCACTCACCAGTATGGGCAACAAACAGAAGCAAAATTTGGAAACTGGATTTATTAGAAAGACATTTTATTACCTGTGCCTGCAAAAATGAGGGTCTGTTTAAAGACTAGGCTTCTGAAATCTCAGCCCAAAAGAGTTTTTAAAATTAAGAGGTGTTAAGGGATGCAAGTGCATTCACCTTTCTGTAGACTTAGGTCAAAATTGGGGTGAAAGTCCTGACAGCAGCTTGGACGATGGACACAAAAGCTACTGTAATGGAAGCTAGGCTGTGGGCACGGGCTGCTTCCTGGTAAGAGGTTGTGTGCTCGTACCTCATTGTGCCTGATGCTGAATGTGGGATAAGAGAGCACTAACTGGACACAGAGCAGCCACAGAAACTGAGTTTATCCCTCGGCTTACGAGCCAGTAACCTGCTTACATGTCTATACCCAAACTAGTTGCAGAACTCCACTGAAGTCAGCAAGGAGCTAGAGGACCTTGAGCATCTGTGTAGGTGGAGCAAGTTGTAATACTGGACTTAGTCCTTTCAGTGGGAATGGCCTGGTTTGGCAAGGTGTTGAACGCCATAACTTTGAATATTGGGGATATTGTAGCTACAAAAATGTAGCTTTTTTTTCCGTAGCAAAATATTGTATTTGTTTTGAAATGTGTGTTAAGCAACATGACAGTGATGTAAAATAGCACAAATATTGCCTAAGATAACATGAACAGTCTATTTAGAAAAACAACGGATTTTAGGATTAAAAAAAATGAAGGAATGTGACTTTAACTTCCCCTGTTTAACTATAGTAAATCACAACACAGTAGAAGTAGAAGAGTTTATTATATAGCATGTGTAGAAGTAGTTCTAAATAGGGGAGTGCCAACCAGTATTTTCAGTATCTTGGCTCTGCAGTTTTGACCCAGACACCTTAACTTACTTTTTTCATACTGGATTATATTTATGGGATTACGTGGATTTTTGTTGAAAAACATTCATAAAAACTGTTTTGACAAAAGCTTATTTTATACAGGAAATTATATATTGGAATCCTTTTTACCAGACATTGGGCTTATTCCCATCAACTTTGACAGGCATGTTGCCATCAGTCTCAGTGGGAGCAAAATCAGATTTAGAGAATTCTAGTACGAATGTGCTGTCTTGCAGTCTCAAATTTCCTTTGAAAAGCCAAATCATAAAAAATGTGTGTGAAGCAATTACCTCCCACATTTCAGATCTTTAGATAAAAATTGCACATAAGGAACATACTGTATGTCAGGCTCATTACAGGAGGGGTTTGTTATATATTTTTTTTAATCCTGAAATACATTTGATATTTGCATATTTCTAGACAAAAGTGTAACAAAAATGACAGATTGGTCACCAATGGAACCAACATATTGTGTAGATGATGTTTTTGTGTTAGTAAAAGTCTACTCATTTTCTCTCTGCTCCAAAGTTTACTGTGCAGTGTTGAATGAGTGCAAACACCAAATGTACTTTCCTAGAGTCATTCGTGCATTGTTTGCAGCGTACTCATTCAAAACCAGC